ATCAAATCAGCATGGTACTGGTACCAAAACAGAAATATAGACCAATGGAACAAAACAGAGGCATCGGAGGCAACACAACATATCTACAACCATACAATCTTTGATAAACCTGACAAAAACAAGCAATGGGGAAAGGATTCCCTGTTTAACAAATGGTGTTGGGAAAACTGGCTAGCCATGTGCAGAAAGCAGAAACTGGACCCCTTCCTGACACCTTACACTAAAATTAACTCCAGATAAATTAAAGACTTAAACATAAGACCTGGCACCATAAAAACCCTGGAAGAAAATCTAGGCAAAACCATTCAGGACATAGGAGTAGGCAAGGACTTCATGAACAAAACAGCAAAAGCATTGGCAACAAAAGCCAAAATAGACTAATGGGACCTAATGAAACTCCACAGCTTCTGCAAGGCAAAAGAAACAGTCACTAGAGTGAATTGGCAACCAACAGAATGGGAAAAAATTTTTGCAGTTTACCCATCTGACAAAGGGCTGATATCCCGAATTTACAAAGAACTCAAACAGATTTACAGGAAAAAAACAAACAAGCCCATTCAAAAGTGGGCAAAGGATATGAACAGACACTTTACGAAAGAAGACATATATGAGGCCAACAATCATATGAAAAAATGCTCATCGTCACTGGTCATCAGAGAGATGCAAATCAAAACCACATTGAGATACCATCTCACGCCAGTTAGAATGGCGATCATTAAAAAATCTGGAGACAACAGATGCTGGAGAGGATGTGGAGAAAAAGGAACACTTTTACACTGTTGGTGGGAGTGTAAATTAGTCCAACCATTGTGGAAGACGGTGTGGCGATTCCTCAAGGCCTTAGAAATAGAAATTCCATTTGACACAGCAATCCCATTACTGGGTATATATCCAAAGGACTATAAATCGTTCTACTATAAGGACACATGCACACGAATGTTCATTGCAGCACTGTTTACAATAGCAAAGACCTGGAATCAACCCAAATGCCCATCGATGATAGACTGGATTGGGAAAATGTGGCACATATACACCATGGAATATTATGCAGCAATCAGAAATGATGAGTTTGTGTCGTTTGTAGGGACATGGATGAATCTGGAGAACATCATTGTCAGCAAACTGACACAAGAACAGAAAATGAAACACCGCATATTCTCACTCATAGGCGGGTGATGAAAAATGAGAACACATGGACACAGGAAGGGGAGTACTAAATGCTGGGGTCTATTGGGGGAAAAAGGGGAGGGCCAGTGGGAAGGGGAGGTGGGAAGGGATAGCCTGGGGAGAAATGCCAAATGTGGGTGAAGGGGAGAAAGGAAGCAAAACACACTGCCATGTGTGTACCTATGCAACTGTCTTGCATGTTCTGCACATGTACCCCAAAACCTAAAGTGCAATTAAAAAAAAAAAAGTTAAATCCAACAATCCTACTGCTGGGTATATATCCCAAGGAAATGAAATCACTTTGGCAAAGAGATATCTGTCCTTCTATATTCACTGCGGCACTATTCACAGTAGCTAAGATATGGAATCAACCTAAGTGTTCATCAGCAGATGAATGGATAAAGAAAATGTTATATATACATACATAATTGAATATATTCAGCCTTAAAAAAGAAGAAAATCTTGTCATTTGTGACAACATGGACCAATCTGGAGGACATTATGTTAAATGAAATAATTCAGGTACAGAAAAACAAATATTGCATGATCCCAATTATACATAGAATCTAAAAAAACTTCAACTCAGAAGTAGAGAGGAGAATGATGGTTGCCTGGGGCTGGTGGGGTTGGGGAGATGCTGGGAAAAAAGGCAGAGTTAGAGTTTAATGTCATCTTTGAATGTTTCTCCAATAACTCATGAGAATTATGATTTGATGTCACTAAGAGCCCACAGTTTCTATCCCAGTGAAAATAATAAACAGGTCAGAGCCTTGCACTCTTGAAGTGCTCACTCACTTATAACCACAGAATTTAGCTAAGTGCTACGTATTAAAGGGAAACTCCTCTACACCTGCTCCTTTGACCAAGTAATCCATGCCAGTTTAGGAGTCCTAGACTGTTCAGAAAATCATGTGGGCTAGAAAATGTGGAGTTACTGTCAGAAAGTTGTCCAATAGCTTCTAAAGCAGGGGATAATACATATTCCCTACTGGAATATATATAGGAAAAATAATATTTTGCTCAGAAAATGAAAGACAAATTTGAAACCAACCAATCCCAGCACTTTGGGAGGCCGAAGCGGGTGGATCACGAGGTCAAGAGATCGAGACCATCCTGGTCAACAAGGTTAAATCCCGTCTCTACTAAAAATACAAACATTAGCTGGGCATGGTGGTGCGCGCCTATAGTCCCAGCTACTCGGGAGGCTGAGGCACGAGAATTGCTTGAACCCAGGAGGCGGAGGTTGCGGTGAGCCGAGATCGTGCCATTGCACTCCAGTCTGGGTAACAACAGTTAAACTCCGTCTCAAAAAAAAAAAAAGAAATCAGCCAATAAACCAACTTTGGTTTCTGCCTGTTGTTAGGAATCCTTGCAACTAAAAGAATCAGAGTAGCCCAGAGGGGACGTCATCTCTAATGCTGATAGCTCACAAAAGCAAAAGTGGAAAGCATTTAATTAGTACAAATCATTCTTCTGGGAGGGAGCTGCCTTTGATATCCCTGAAGAGCCTCAGGGCATGGGTGCAGAGGCAGATATTATGCTTTATAAAAGATGGCTTTTCTCACAAAAATGCAAGAAGATCCTGCAACAGGATTTCTCCCCATAACCACTAAAACTTCCAACAGAGTTCGCAATAGATCATGAAATGCTTAGTATAATTATATTTGTTTTAGAAACTAGTGAAAGATATGAATTTTATATCCTGGTTGACTTGGGCAAAACAGACAGAGGATGTAGACAGAGAGTACCTGACCCAACTCCTGAATGATTAAAATTAAGTATGTGTGTTAGGGTGTGGTGACTCACACCTGTAATCCCCAGCATTTGGGGAGACCAAGGCAGGAGGATTGCTTGAGCTGAGGAGTTCAAGACCAGCCCGGGAAGCATAGAGCGACCTTGTCTCTGCAAATAATTTAAAAATTAGCTGGGTGTGGTGGTGAGTGCCTCAGCTATTCAGGAGGCTGCATAGGGAGGACTGCCTAGACCTAGGAGGTCAAGACTGTAGTAAGCTGTGACTGTAACACTGCACTCCAGCTTGGGCATCAGAGTGAGATGGTGGGTGGATCATTTCAGGTCAGAATTTTGAGACCACCCTGTCCAACATGTCATCACCCTGTCTCTATTAAAAATACAAAAATTAGCCGGGTGTGGTGGCACATGCCTGTAATCCCAGTCGTTGGGAGGCTGAGCCAAGAGAATTGCTTGAACCCAGGAGGCAGAGGTTGCAGTGAGCTGAGATCATGCTATTACACTCCAGCCTGGGCAACAGAGCAAGACTGTGTCTCAAAAAAAAAAAAAAAAGAAAAATTACATGAGGTGAGGGGAAGAGATACTAAGGACATTTCTTCTTCAATACAAGGGACAAGAAGAATTTCAGTTATGTCTAGTGGGTATGTGTATTTGTGTATATAAATAATTAAATTGAATCATATTATGCATACTGTTGTTTCTTTTTCTTTTTTAGAGGGTGTCTAGCTCTGTCACCCAAGCTGGATACAGTGGCGCGATCTCAGCTCACCATAACCTCTGCCTCCAGGGTTCAAGCAATTCTCCTGTCTCAACCTCCCCAGTAGCTGGGACTACAGGTGCCAGCCACCACACCTAGCTAATTTTTGTATTTTTCGTAGAGACAGGGTTTCACCATATTGGTCAGGCTGGTCTTGAACTCCTGACCTCAGGTAATCTACCCACCTCAGACTCCCAAAGTTCTGGGATTACAGGCATGAGCCATGATACCCAGACTCAGTATCAGTCTATATTATGAACAATACTGATACTTATTTAACCAAGGCCTTTTTGTTAAATTTTAATTGTATTTTTCACCCTCGCCCCCAATTTCTTACTATCCTAATGAATGCTTCATTGAATATTTTGGGGCTAAATATTGGTTTACCCACGATTGTTTACATATGATTTTTTTTTAACCTAAGTTTGAAAAATGTCTAGTGAATTCTCCGTGGGGCTAAATCTGACTCAAATACTTCTATGTATTTAGAATATTATATTATATGTATTAGTCAGGGTTCTCTAGAGGGACAGAATTAATAGGATAAATGTATATATACAGGGGAGTTTATTAAGGAATATTAACTCACACAATTATAAGCTCCCATAGTAGGCCATCTGCAAGCTGAGGAGCAAGGAAGCTAGTCCAAGCTCCAAAGCTGAAGAACCTGGAATCTGATGTTCGAGGGCAGGAAGCATCCAGCACAGGAGAGAGATGTAGGCTGGGAGGCTAAGCCAGTCTAGTCTTTTCACGTTTTTCTGCCTGCTTTATATCCTGGCCACACTGGCAACTGATTAGATGGTGCCCACCCAGATTAAGGGTGGGCCTGCTTTTCCCAGCCCACTGACTCAAATGTTAATCTCCTTTAGCAACACCCTCACAGACACACCGAAGATCAATACTTTGCATCTTTCAGTCCAGTCAAGTTGACAGTCAGTATTAACCATCACAATATGATATATAATATTTAGAATATTCTTAAGTGTAGAACAGGTTGCTGTACTTCACAGGTACAACACAACAGCAAGATGATTATAACTTTCTAAATAATTCACACGAATATCCATTAATCATGGATATTCCTAATGTACCCATACTCACATGAAAAGTTACCAAAAAACAATTCCTCTGTACATGGACAACCTTTGCTCTTTCACATATTTAAAGTACTTTGGGAGGAGATAAAGTTTTAAATTAATTACTACAAATAACCATATTATTGGTCAATGAAAAATATCCTTTTGAAAAAAATCTATATTTCTCACATATTTTAAATATTAACTAAAAATAAAATATAACCTAAAAGTAATCATTTCTGCTTTCTTACCTCTTTTATCTTGCTCAGGAATTCAGTTTTTTCATAATTAGATGTACCATCCAGTTTTTCCTTGCTCTCTGTGAAAAAACCCCTATGAACAAAGGAAGCCAAACAGATTCATATAAGAACATACTTTCCAGAAAAGTCATATTTACTTATGAAATCAAAAAGTTCCAGTCCCCATCTCCCCACATATGTATGTATATATTTATCAAAATAAGCAAAAATGTGTACTCCTTTGAATTGATGAATTATACTTTATTTATTTATTCTTTTACTTAAGAAGCAACTATTGGTCAGGTGCAGTGGCTCACGCCTGCAATCCCAGCACTTTGGGAAGCCAAGGCAGGTGGATCATGAGATCAAGAGATTGAGACCATCTGGTCAACATGGTGAAATCCATCTCTATTAAAAATACAGAAATTAGCCGGGCATGGTGGCATGCACCTGTAGTCCCAGCTACTCAGGAGGCTGAGGCAGGAGAATTGCTTGAACCCGGGGGTGGAGGCTGCTATAAGCGGAGATCACACCACTGCACTCCAGCCTGGTGACAGAGCAAGAAACCATCTCAAAAAAAAAGAAGTAATTATTGAACATATATGTTGCCAGATATGTTTCAGGTACTAGGGATACAGCATATGCAAGGTCCCTACCCTCATGAAAACTACATTCCATGGAGGAGTCAGGAGATAAGCAAGTTATCAAAAAACAAGTAATGTATCTCGGATACTATTAAGTGCTCCATAAAACACAAAGTAGGATAAATCACAAAAGGATCCTGAGAGCAAGAATGCTGGTCTAGACAGGTGGTCAGGGAAGACCTCTTTGAGATGACCTGTGAAAAGACCTGAATGTTAAGGGGAGCCAGCAACATGAAAATCTGAAGGAAGAGCTTTTCAGGCAGAAGAAACATCCGGTAACAAGACAGAGGTAGGAAAACGCTTGGTGTATTCGGGGAAGAAGGATGAGGAGGCTGGAGACACAGCCTGAAACTAGATCATGCAGGGTGTTAAGGCCAGGCTAGAAGTTCAGATTTTATTCTGAAAGGAACAGGGGTGGATTATTTAAGCAGAAGAGCAACATGAACCTATGGATACCTTGTAAAGATCACTCTGGTTACTCTGTGGAGAAAGACAACTGTGGAGGAAGATCATGTAGAAGGCTCTGGTCATGGTCCAGAAGAGATCACGGCTGTTCAGGCTAAGGGGACAGTGGTGGCAGTGGTAAGAAATAGATGTATTCAGCATGTATTTTGAAGATGAAGGCAACAGGATGTGACTTTGAATTTGGCTGGACTAAGAGTTGAGTCAGGGTCGGGTAGTGAGTAAAGCAGAAATGGTAGATGACCCCTGGGCTTATGGCTGGAGTAACTAGGTAAATAGTGGTGCCATATTAACTGATATGGAAGACTGTGGGAAAAGCTGTTTCAGGAAGGTGGGAAATCAACAGTTCTGTTCGGGACACGTTATGTTTGAGATATATAATAGACATCTTCCAAGCGGAAAGGTCAAGTAAGGTATACAGTATCTGCATTTAGAGCTCAAGTCATTGAAGCAAAGAAAGTATTTAAAGCCATGAGCCTGAATAAAATCATATTCGGAGGGTATGAGAAGAGAATAGTGAAGGACTGAGAACTTGACATTTTTCTTTTTTAAGATGGAGTCTCACTGTGTCACCCAGGCTGGAGTGCAATAGCACGATCTTGGTTCACCACAACCTCTGCCTCCCCAGTTCAAGCAATTCTCCTGCCTCAGCCTCCCAAGTAGCTGGCATTACAGCCACATGCCATGATGCACAGCTAATTTTTGTATTTTCAGTAGAAACAGGGTTTCACCATGTTGGCCAGGCTGGTCCTGAACTCCTGACATCGTGATCTGCCCACCTCGGTCTCCCAAAGTGCTGGGATTACAGGCGTGAGCCAGAGAGCCTGGCCAAGAACTTGAAATTTAGAATCAGAAAAAAGAATTAGAACAAGTAAAGGATCCTGAAAAGTGGCAACCAGTGTGGTGAGTAAAATAAGAGAATATGGTATTTAGGAAGCCAAGTGAAGAAAGTACTTCAAGGAGGTGGAAGTGATAAACTGTCAAATCCTATTATGAATTTGAGAACTTTCAGGAGTTAACTAGACCACTAAAGTTTAACAGGATGGAAGTCATTGGTAACTGTGGCAATTCTGAAACCATGTTAGCTCAAAAAAGCATCTGTAGTCTTCATAGCTTCATACACTTTAATGGCAAGTATATACTCTAGGCCACAAATTGGATGTCATTTATATACAACATTTAACTTTCACATTTCTCATGTGCTGAAAGCCAGCTGAATAGCAAATAAACACAATAGTGATTTTAAAAGATAAGCATTGGATTTGTCTTCATCGTGTAATCACACTGGATACCAATGATAAGAAAGAACAAGGATCAAACGACAATGCCTCCTGTAGACTTATGGAGCATTAGAGTTACTCTTAGTTGTCCAAACACACATGGAATTTTTTTTTTTTTTTTTGAGTTGGAGTCTTGCCCTGTCACCCAGGCTGGAGTGTAGTGGTGTGATATCGACTCACTGCAACCTCCACCTCCCAGCTCCTGAGCAGCTGAGACTACAGGTGCCCACCACCACAGCAGGCTAATTTTTGTATTTTTAGTAATGCCAGGGTATCACCATATTGGCCAGGCTGGTCTCAAACTCCTGACCTTGTGATCCACTCGCCTCAGACTCCCAAAGGGCTGGGATTACAGGTGTAACCCACCTTACCCGGCCCACACAAGGAATTTAAACTTGTGGTTGAGTGATTTTGTTTTCCTCAATATTTTGAATTCAAAATAGGTAACAATGTTATTAACCAGCTTGCAAGTTAAAGATTTCATGAAGGAAGGCCAGGCGTGGTGGGTCATGCCTGTAATCCCAGCCCTGAAAGGCCAAGGTAGGTGGATCATGAGGTCAGGAGATGGAGACCATCCTGGCCAACATGGTAAAAGCCCGTATCTACTGAAAATACAAAAATTAGCTGGGCATGCTGGCACATGCCTGTAATCCCAGCTACTCGGGAGGCTGAGGCAGGAGAATCGCTTGAACCAAGAAGTTGGAGGTTGCAGTGAGCCGAGAATACACCACTGCACTCCAGCCTGGCAACAGAGCGAGACTACCCCTCAAAAAAAAAAAAAAAGATTTCATAAAGTAAAATAAAGGGTTATAGATTGATAGGAAAATGCATTTTGCAAATTATTTTAGTTTCTCATATAATTTCTTATAGAAATCTTATAAAACAGCACTGATTCTTCAAATCCACCTAGCAGGAACCTAGATTGCCTCTCCGTATCTTCACAGATAGAGGAAATCAGCTAAGGAAGAAAATAGGAAGAATACAAAGAATTTTCTTTTAATTTTCCAGGTAAAGAAGAAAAAGTAAAGTTTTTTTTTTAATAAAAAGGAGAATAACTTATGTCCTTGATCACCACATTAATATAAAGCACTTTTCTTTGGTGAGATTCTACTTTTTCTTCAAAATATATGTAAACTAATACTATTGAATCACAAAATAAGAGGTTTTTTTTTTTTGAGTTGTAATTGTGGTATTAATTGAGCTTTCTTATTTTTTTTTTTTCTTTTGAGATGGAGTTTTGCTCTTGTTACCCAGGATGGAGTGCAATGGCACGATCTTGGCTCACCGCAACCTCCGCCTCCTGGGTTCAGGCAATTCTCCTGCCTCAGCCTCCTGAGTAGCTGGGATTACAGGCACGTGCCACCATACCCAGCTAATTTTTTGTATTTTTAGTAGAAACGGGGTTTCACCATGTTGACCAGGATAGTCTCGATCTCTTGACATCGTGATCCACCTGCCTTGGCCTCCCAAAGTGCTGGGATTACAGGCGTGAGCCACCGTGCCCGGCCCTGCTTTCTTATTTATTTATTTATTTTTTGCCAATCAGTTTGAGCTTATAAGGTTGTTCAGGTTAGCCTTGAACTCATGACCTTGCCTTCGCAAGCACCACGACCTCCAGTGGGAGCCACTTTGGACTCCCTTATTTTTTAATCTGATACTGAAGATAGAGATTATTGCCATTTTATGAACTGATGATGGTAAATCAGCATTGCTGTTTTGAAAGACCTATTATAATTTTAATTATAATATATTCAAATGTATATAGAAATTACCTATGTTATAACAGGATTCTACATGTGAGGTTACTTGTCTTTTTGGAATCTACTCAGTCCACATTTTGTTTCTTAAACTGTCAGTGAACCATTGGAGTAGTCCCTGGAAGCCATGCTATAAGTAAGACTCCATCATCTTGTGCAGAGCTGATTGGATTAGGAACCAAAGCTGAGTCAAACACATCCTGATGTGAAATCTGGGGATTTTCTGGGGAGAGAGTGTGTTGATCAATCTTTAAAGATAGTTGGACCTGTGCAAGGTCAATTCAGAGGATTTGGCATAGCCAGAGGTTGCCATATGCTCACCAAGAAGAGAATACCATGTGCAGACAAAGAGATGAATGAAACACTTTCACAAAATGAAGCACAGACTGAGGCTTTGGATGGATGGAACGCCTCCTTCAGTTTCTGGTTCTAGTCCCATGTGCAGCAGTTTTTGCCCTGGACTTCCCTGTATTTTCTCAGGAAGTAGGGCAAGTCTCCCTTGAATAAGAACAACTCTAACAGTATGGCTAGATGGGTTGTAGCCTATGCTACATCCCACTAATGCCTGCCCCCATGAGCATTTTTGTTTGTAGTGAGTCAGGAACTGAAATGAGAATAATATATACATTCCAAAGAGTCCCTTCCTTTCCTCAAGCTGACAACATCTTTAATTTTTTCTCTTGATCACTTGAAGGACTAATTTTACAACAAAAAGGTGATTCTACAAAGCTACCACACATATTTTAGTAAATTAAGAGAATATAATTTTCATGTCAAATTAAAGACATGTTTTTAAAAGGGAAAACATAGCATAACTATATTATAATATCATATTAACACATCTTGAAACACTTCAGTAAAAATAAAGCATTACACTTACAGTTTAGCCTCCAGAATCACAAGGGCTTTCCTTAGCTCACTGACCTGCTGTTCCCAATACCTTATCGATTCATGTAGTTGTGCTATCTCTAAATTGTGATCACTAAGAACCTATTAAAAATTAAACAAAATATGGAATCTAATCATAACCAAGCGATTCATAACAGCAGTTCAATTCCACTCAATATTCATGAATTACTCATTTAACTTTTACAATGGGGGTATACTACTAGGAAAAAAAACCAATCATTATAATTGTTTCTCTATAAAATAAACTTGGACACACATAATTCTGAAATCATCAGAAAAACCCAAAATTTACAGGGGAAAATGGCTAAATACAGCAGTGAGAATGTGACTACTTTAAAAAATTTTTGAGACAAGAATTAACTTTGTCTACCACTTGAAAAAATTAAACAAATCCACATTGTCACAATCATCTTCATTTATCATCCCAGGATATCAAAATGAGTATTATTTTAAAAAGTCAAAACAAATTGGGTCTTTTTGTTTCCCTTGATAGCTATGTTCATGCTGAAAATAATTTTTATTTCTTAATAGTTAATCTAAATTTAGGAAATGGAATAACTGGATACTATTTTAAAAAGTTATGATTTAAAAGAGGGAAAAACTGTTGGAGAAAATTTATAATGAAACAGATATTTTTGCAATGCAATTTTGGGATCAAGAAGAAGAAAGTCAAACTTATTCAGCCTTGGGTTTGCATTTCAGCTTGTGAGGGACAATGGAGCTTAGACAAGGCTGATGAAACAAATTCCTCTTCTCTCCAACATAGAATTACCATGGACATAATATTTAATGCCATCTAACCCTGGACAGCAATGTGGTATCAGAGATACACCCGTGGGGAGAACTGAGGTGCTTTCAGCCATGCCAGATGAGAGAGGTGGGTAAAAGCTACTCAAAACGGTTTATTTCTCTTGCGCACCCATAGCTAGTTCCAGAGCTAACACAAGTCATAGAACTACCATCAAAATAAGCAGAATGTTGAGAGACCTCTGATCAGTCATCAGATTTAGGGATACATGCTGAAGGCCTAATCGGTCTGACATCTGTTATCTTTAATCCTTAGTCCTCCTTGCCCAGACAGGTAGGCTGCCTTAAGGGTCACATGCTATTATTTTTTTCTGCCAACATCCTATCAACATAACCTGGCTGCAGAGACTTCTAAACCACATGTCCCATGTGAGAGTAAATATGAAATTCCTTGTGGTCTCAGTCTATAGCCAAAATACTATTTGCTAACCTCAGCCAACAACAATGACAATGAACTCCCAAATATAAAAGCACTTAATAGGCATGTCCTCATTCAATCTCCACAAAAATGCTCTGCAGTAGGCAATATTAATACTTACATTTTATAGATGAGGAAACTTCAGGTTTGTAGAACTAAGATTTAAACCCAGTTCTGTGTGATACTTAAGTTTGTGCTTAACAAACTATTCTCTACTAATGGAAGGGTAGGAGGGTGGGCAGGCTGGCTTGTGGAGAATGGGGAAGGACCCAGAGGCGAATTTACTCCTGCCACCTTCAAGCCCATCTAATTTGGCTTTAGAGACCTTCAGAGTACAGGCTAAGGAACACATACTTCATTTTCCTAAGCTAGTTGGTGGTGGGCTTGATTTACGATTTATGAGACCAAAACTGGAAACAAGAGCTTGAGCGTGCAGATAAAATATGTTATACATAGCCTCTATATCTTCCTGTAGGCCTAGTGCTTCCTTACTATGTTGAAATTTTAAAACAGATAATGATTTTTTAATGCACATATTTGAGAGAAATTTTTCATTTTACTAATGTTTTGTAATTGGATATCATAATAGATATATTGTAATTAAGACGAGCAGAACCACCCCATATAAAATATTCAGTTTTACTGTTGTACCAGTATAGTTTTACATGTGATTTTTCAAGACACAGAGAAAAAATATACTGATTCATTAATTGTGATAAGAGGTTAACAGGCATTTTTGTTTTAATTAACATACAAGTAGTATTTACGTTAACCACTTCAATTATAGTCACCTCCATCAGCTTATATTTTCTCATCTCTAAAATAAAGATAATCCTCACAAAATACTTATCACAGTGCTGACTTTCAGCAAATGTTATCACAGTCTTTTAAAAGAAGTACAGAGTTCTGACATATTTATTTTCTAGTTCAACAGACACATGGTCTCCTTTACATATTAATGTTGCTGTACCCAATATTAACAGAGAGCCTAAACTCTGTTCTCTTATTTCACATTCAGAACTAATGACTTGGCCCACGGTTATTCATTTTGTTATATAAAATGAAGCAATCTCATGGAAACATTATATATACATATATATATGTATATTTGGTTACTTCTGTATGTTTTTTAAATCAATATTTTCATAGTATTTTGGCCCATCAAATTCAATTGGTACTTAGCACATTCCTAATTTCTTTCTTCCCATTCTATTCCTGAGGAGGAAACCACAATCACACCATAACACTATAAAGGAAGTGTCAGAAAATGTTGATGTGCAGAAAACATCCTTTCAGCATGGCATGAAGATGAATTAAAATCAACTCCTTTTTATCGAGGTGCCTAGACAAGGCTTAAAATACATATATAGTTTATTCTTTCTTACCACTGCAGAAGTAGTAACTGTTTCTTTTATTTTTGATACTTTAGTTTGTAATTTATCCAATTCTTTCTTCTTTTCATAAGTCTCCATTTTCTTTATTTCACAGATATTTTTAAATTCATTAATCTATAGTGACAAGCATAATAAACCAATTTAAAAGTTTAGAAAATCCTTTAAAAAATGTGTCAACCTAATTTATATTTAATCTAAGTATAACATATTCAATCCAAGTATTCCAATAAATAAAAAATAAACAAAAAAACTAGGGTTTGCTTATTTAGCAGTATCACAGGAAAAACCATGAACCACAAGGGCCAAACTGTAATTACTAAATATTGAAATAGTAAATTTTTAAGAGCAATAACAATGATTATTAATAATTATAAAAGCAATTGCCATAGCAGTAAGTGACCAGATTTACAGTGTACTAAGCAGACAAGAAAAGTAAAAGGAATGAAGAAATCATCTAGGAATCTAAACGAACATTATTTCATGTGAAATAAAACCAGCTAAACACAGAGCAAACAAAATCATTAAAGACAGAGCAGCTTGTAATCCTGGAAAACTTCTTACCATTTTATCACAACACCACTTGTTAGACCCTAATGAACTTTGTCACCCTCTTATCAAAATCAAACATATCATGGATTTGTCTGTAAAATGGATTACCAAGAACAAGGTAACTAATTAAGTAGAAAGGCCTGGAAAGGCCTGGGAAAGCACAGTCAACTCTGTATTAAAGAGCTATGAAAACATATGCCTGGGTGACTTCTCATTAAAGCCACCAGCTGCTTCACCCAAAGTGGCTACTCTGAATAAATATGATCATTACCAATTATCACCGTGCCAGGGCACAGATGCATATGAATGAAACTTCATGATTAATAAATTTTGCTGCAAATTGAAAATCTGGCTCAGAGGTGGTTCATGCCTCTAATCCCAGCATTTTAGGAGGCTGAGGGAGGAATACATCTTGAAGCCATGAGCTCAAGACTAGCCTGGGCAACATAATGAGACCCAGTCTCCACAAGAAATTAAAAAATTATCCCATCATGGCGGTACAAGCCTGAAAAAGGAAACTGAAAAATCTGGCTTCATACTTTGGCTAAAGCCTTCTCCCAAGGTCTTGCAATCATAGAAATAATATTGGCAACTACTATTTTGTTTGGTGTTGTGGGGAATATTATAGGTTGAATATTCTCCGACACATGTAATAGTTTTTCCTTTCTCATAGGAAGGGAAAGAACAGGCTGTGACCACAGCCTATGATGTGTCTTTAGTAAACACTGGTGGTTGATTCTTTAATATCCATCCACCTCAGTTGGTCTAACCCACTGGACATGCCATTCCCTTACAGGGCATTGTTGTTCCAGGGATGGGCACTATTTTTTTTTTTTAAGCTGGAGTCTCTCTGTTGTCACCCAAGCTGGAGTGCAATAGTGTCATCTTGGCTCACTGCAACCTCTGCCTCTGGGGTCCGAGCAATTCTCCTGGCTTAGCCTCCCCAGTAGCTGGGATTATAGGTGCCTGCCACCACATGGGTAATTTTTGTATTTTTAGTAGAGATGGGGTTTCATCATGTTGGCCAGGCTGGTCTTGAACTCCTGATCTCAGGTGATCCACTGGCCTTGGTCTCCCAAAGTGCTGGGATAACAGGTGTGAGTCACTGCGTCAGGCTGTTGGGCACTATTTTAACCTGGCCAGGTCATAGGGTCCAATTGTCACTGGCAGCCATGTTGCGACCATGAGGGAAACCAGCCTTAGGATGAAGGGTGAAGGAAAGAAGAGGGACCCACTGCTTTAACTAGTTCTAAAGGCTGCCCCACCTCAGGAATTCCTAAACTGTGAGACAATAAAGGCCCTTACTGTTTAAGCCAGCATGAGTCAGGGCTTCTGCATTTTTCATCTGAAAGCATCCTAACTGGTACCCTTTCCCTAGGAGATGGAGCAGGAGTAGGCAAACAACCCATGGGCCAAATCCAGCACCACCTGTTTATGAAAAGCAATTCTCATTCATGTAGGTTCTATTTGTGGCTACTTTTGTGCTCAAATGGCAGAGTTGAGTAGTTGTAACAGAGACTGCATGGCCTTAAATATTTAGTATCTGGCCCTTTTCAGAAAAAGTCTGTGGACCCCTGAGATAGACTATTTACATACCATAAGAAAGAGGAACCTGTCATGCTTGCAAATTCCCTATATAAGCCTTTCTGGGCTTCCTTTCTTGTGAAGTTAACTCATTCATTAAATAAAGTAATATTATAGTGTGTCTGCCATGTGTGAGGTATACAGCCACTGTTCTTGCTGCTAAAGATAGAGCAGTGAATGAAGCAGACAAAACTCCTGCCCTGGGCAGCTTACCTTCTGGTGGGCAAAATGCAGATTGGATGCTGTACTTGACTGAATGTTTCAGTGCCAGGAGAAGTAAAGAAAAGTGACAGGGTTTCCCAGATCTCCACTCCTCCACCACCTTGGAAGTCCTTACCCAGTTATGCCCACACAGACACACCCCACTCTTTGCCCCATAATTTACGTGAGCCATACCAGGTGTGGGTTCTGGGCTGATCAGAGAGAACAGAATCCTGCTTTCAGTGTTCATCATCGTCAACAGGAAATGAAAAAGTAAATCCCTTTTGATCCTTGTTGTCCCGAAACTTCCTTTTCATTGTGCTAACAATAAATCCAAGTAAGGTCTATCTAGCTCAGTGAGAGGAACCCTATCCTATTTTTGAGATACAGATTTCAGTTGATTCAAGTACTGCAACCCAAGTTAACAGCTGGTTTCAATCTCAAGAAAGGTTCAAGGAGCTTGGCTTTTATAATTTATGTTTAGAAGCTGCAGACTGCCCAAAGAAATCTGCTCTGATGTAAATGTGTACCCCTGAATCCATGTTCGGACAATTGTCAATGTGATAGTATTAAGAGGCAGGGCTTTTAGGAGGCGATTAAGTCATGAGGGCAGAACCTTCATGAATGAGATTAGTAACCTTATAAAAGGGTGGGAGGGCATTTAGCTAGGTCTTTTTTTTTTTTTTTTTTTTTTTTTTTTGCCTTTTTCCATGTGAAGACATAGTGTTCCCTCTGGAGGAGGCATCGTTCAAGGCACTATATTAGAAGCAGAGACTGGCCTCTCATCAGACATTGAACCTGCTGGCACCTTGGTCTGGGATCTCCTGAGCTGAGAGAAATTTCTGTTATTTACAAACCATCCAGTTTCAGTTATTTTGTTATAGCAGTTCAAATGGACTGAGTTAGACTCCTTGCCAGCTACTTTAGAATGTCCCTCTTACAAGGATGATTAGGGTGAAGCTCTCTGTACTCAGGAAGAATAGTATATAGCTTCAGTGTAAAATGATTTCTGAAGAGGTAGGCACTTTTAAGGATAAAGAAGCCCAGACTTGATTGGAATTTTCAAATAGCCCAAATTTTATCATGGATTCAATTGCCATAAGAATCAGTTACTGCCAGATTTTAATGCTTTAAATTTTAATTAAAACTCAAGAAAAGCAATTTAATAAATATTCCCTCCCTCCCCCTCCCTCCCCATTTCCCCTTCCCTCCCTTTTCCTTTCCTTCCTTCCTTCTTCCCTCCCTCCCTTCTCCCTCCCTCCCTCCTTTCCTTCCTTCTCTCCTCTTTCTAACATAGCAGTCAGTATTACAAGTCTAAGTCCAGTTTCCTACATTTATAACCTGAGGTTATGCCAATTCCCATCATGGATAGGGCAGCATCATGAGCTAGGCTTCCCTACTGCAGAAGGAGAATGAAGACTGTTGCTGGGAACACCTAACATGCAGACAGCCCACCTCTCCTGAGTCAACCAGATTAGGACAAGGAAGAAACAATCATAATCGATCTGATGCTGAATTTTAATTAGCATGGCATAGCAGGGAGTTCAGCCCCCACGGTGGCAGAAAAAGATGCAGTAGCTATTCCTGCCCCAACCTCACAAAATTGCTGGTCTCAAAACATTGTTTTCTCTTTAAGGCCCTCAGTTCTGCCCAGCCCCTCAGCAGGCCACTGCTCTCTCTGATTCATTTATCAGGAGCAACAGGGCTGATAAATGTCTGAACGCCCGGGTCCTGTCCATACTGACAGTCTCAGGATTACCAAAGGCAATCGGATAAGATGGTAGCCTATTCCTTGTCCCTATATGGCTGCGTATAAGCAAGGGGATACCCCAGTGTTTCAAATCCTGTCACATATTCATCCCCATGAACTGAGATGCGCTACCCATCAATATCTTCCCCCAGAGGGGAAGTATCCTTGAGTTTTCCACTTATCCCATTTTCCCAGTGTTCACAGAAGATACCACAGAGGCTGCTTGCCAGCCTTGAGGACAAATAAATTATTTCCTGTTTCCTGCCCCAGATTCTGTATTTTAAAGAATAAATCATGTCACTTACCTGTGCAGCCAACTCTTGTTTTCTTATTAGATATTCTGCCCTTTCTTTTTCCATTTGCTCTTCTGCCTCTTTAATAATTTTTTTTTGCAATGCTAGGTCTTCTCTCTTCAAGTTTATTTCAGTATAAGTCTCATTTATGTAAACAGTGGTGGTGGCTTTTTTCTCCATAGTTTGGTTGAGTGACAGGATAAACCTCGCATGCTTCCTTGCTAGCTCTTCCTGTTTCTCCCTGGAGGAAAGAATTGCTCACAGAGTGAGAAGCACAGCTCCTAAGAAAGGAATAAAGTCTCTGTGGTGAGATGAAGCCTCAGCAGAGGAAAACTGTCAAGAATACTTATTTTATGACCATGTTTATGATTTTCTAAGCTTGGTTAAAGGCCAGGCTCAGTGGCTCATGCCTATAATTCTAGCACTTTGGGAGGCCAAGGCAGGCAGATCATCTGAGAGGTCAGGAGTTTGAGACCAGCCTGGCCAACATGCTGAAACCCCATCTCTACTAAAAATACAAAAATTTGACAGGCATGGTGGCGTGCACCTGTAATCTCAGCTACTCAGGGGGCTGAGGCAGGAGAATCACTTGAACCCAGAAGGCAGAGGTTGCAGTGAGCCAAGATCATGCCACTGAACTCCAGCCTGGTTGACAGAATGAGACTCTGTCTCAAATTAAAAAAAAAAAAAATGTTTGAGATGAGGACAGCAGGTAACAAGCATCAACCGTGCAACTTACACCACTTTAGAATGTCGTGTGGCCCTGCCTTGCCCCATCAGTACCCACATGCCAGGTGGTAACCACAGAATTTTTTGGGTTAAAGTATACAATGACTCAAAGGTAGTTTTGAACAGGTAAATGGGATCTGGCCAGATGAGTGTTTTGATATGTAGTGTCATCATGTCTACCTCATCATCCTGAGATACGCAGTTAAGCCAAAGAAAGAGAAACATCTCATCACATCTCCAGCCACCCTGGGTGCTTACAGCCCTTCAGGCAGGGCCCAACAGAAAGCTCACCTTCCTGTGGACAGAAATCAGGAAAAGAAAAGAGTCCAACTTTACTGTTTGGAGGATGCTTGAAACCTAATCTGAGCCCTCTTAGCTTCTCCCAGCTGGAGCCAAAGCTGAGCTCATTAGGAGTCTTTAACCTCACACATCCATTGCTGGCCAGTGTCCATCTGAGGAAACCTTAAGATTGGGAGAAACATCTACCTTGAGGATAACAACAAAAGATTGACAAAAGGGACAATCGGTGCCATGTCTCTGTTTTTCCTTTCCTTTTTAAAAGCTCCTGCAATGTAAAGACCCTTTTCCCTTGGCTAGTCCTCAGGACTAGCGACTTTTAAAAGAATTGTGTTTGAAGGCTCAGGAAAGTAAAAGCAGGCTGTTGGGAAGTTTGCTTCCAGGGTTTAAACTCCACAAAAGAAAATAAAGAGAAGCCTAGTTGAGAGGCTCAGTAGATGGTCAGATAATAGGGGCTTTGTGGATGCAGTAGAGGAAGGCTTCTAACAATGAATCAACCTGAGGACTGTGGAGCCTCCGGGAAACAAAGCAAAATGGGTAAACTCAAAAAACCTCACTAGATGTGCTGTGATGGTCTGAGAAGAAAAGAACACTCACGAACGCAGTGTGGAGCCTCAGGAAAGCACATTCAAACAGCTGCTCTGTCTGTATCTAGTTTTTGAAAATTGCCCAGGGCAGGAGACATACCCAACACCTGTCAGAGCTTGTGGACACTTTGATATGCGTTTTTCCTTGAAAAATTAATGCAACAAATGATTGTAGCTTGATGATGTCAACACAACTGGCACCACCTTCTGTTTGTTATGGCCTTTCCATAAAGATTTGTCTAGAGCAGTGGACCCCCCAATGTGGTCAGGACCAGCAGCAGCAGCGTCACCTGAGAATTTGTCAGGAATGCAAATTCTTGTCCCCATGCCACTCCTCCCAGATCTATTAAATCAGAAATTTTAGAAGCAAGTACCAGTAATTTGTTTTAATTACAAACAGTAGTTGCTGCTGGGTTTTAACAAGCCCTCCAGGTGATTCTGATGCAAGCTCAAGTTTGAGAATCATTGGTCTATAGGAATGTGATGTTGGGACTGGTTGATATATATATCTAGCCTGGGTATTATTTTTCTTGTTATTAGTTTAGGAACAGATAGTCCAGTTTATGGAGCAGGCTCTGGCCATTGTGGCTAGCATGCACCATGCACAAATCTGTATTATGAATCCCCAACAGGGATTAGAGTATCTGGTTTTTCTCAAACTTATGTAATCATAAACTTTCTCTTTCATGGAGCATCTCCCAGCACAGGTGTTCTGAGAGCTTGGTTTGAAATCCATGTCCCTGGGCCTTGAGATCTCTACCTGATTTCTGTTCATTTGCTATATGGGGCACCAGGCAACCCTCTGATTATTTCAGCTTCCCAAGAAGACTTTTTCCCCTATGATAAGGGCTGTTTGTGAACATTTCTCACTCTGGAAACTAACATGCTGATATTTATGATATTTATTAAAATTTATTTATTTATTTTGAGACGGAGTTTCGCTCTTGTTATCCAGGCTGGAGGGCAATGGCGCGATCTCGGCTCACCGCAACCTCCGCCTCCTGGGTTCAGGCAATTCTCCTGACTCAGCCTCCTGAGTACCTGGGATTACAGGCACGCGCCACCATGCTCAGCTAATTTTTTTTGTATTTTTAGTAGAGACGGGGGGTTCACAATGTTGACCAGGATAGTCTCGATCTCTTGACCTCGTGATCCACCCGCCTTGGCCTCCCAAAGTGTTGGGATTACAGGCGTGAGCCACTGTGTCCGGCCCATTTATTAAAATTTATCACATTTTCTCATAGGGGTAATTCTTCAAGGGGTTCTTTCTTTCAGAACATATCTCTTCCTTTCATGAGCTACCAAAGAGTTGTGATCCCCATTTCACAGACGGAGAAAATGAGGCTCACTAAGGGGTATCAGATCCTGAGCTACAGGCAGTTTCATATACTGTCTCATTTAATTACAGATAAAATCTGGAACCTTGTCCTGGGAACTAGCCCCATCCTCAGTCCTCCAGTGGATTACAAATATGACTAAATATCTTCAATGAACTGAAATAGATCCAATAGGTCTGGTTTGGTATTAGATTTACAATATAAACCCTGCCAGATTTCTTCCTTTGGTGGTGGGGGTTTGTAAACTTAATTCTATGAAAATGGAAATGAAACCCACTGTGTGTCTACCTTTGGAGGTAGCATCAGAGGTAGTGTGTGATTTATAAACAGTAGTTGCTGCTGGGAAGCTGGACAGCCTTTGAAATATTACAGGTCTCCTGACTGCTGTGGTTTGAAGATTTTCTGCTCTCCTACTCAGTCCTCTGCATCCATCACCTTCCCTACCCCATCAGCCTGGGTCATCTCCTACAACCCATTTCACCCCTCAACTTGCCCTGCTCCAGTTCAGATCAGAGAGTAAACCCCTTCCAACAATCTTCCCATTCCAGCCACAGACCCCTTCTCCCTCAAATACTGAATACAAGAATACCTACCCCAAAGCTTCATTATATTTTGTCAGGTCAGTTATTTTCTTCTTCAGAAGCTCTATTTCTTTCTCTGTCCTTGTAATTCTCATTTTTATTGTATTTATCTCAAAAAGATTTAATCTGCGAGCGTCTCTGACACATTCTTCAAAGTAAGTGGAAATGTTACTACATTATTTGAGGAAGAGCACAATTATAGATACTGAGTTTTCAAATCCTGAAAAAAAAGTCTTTCTTTGAAATATTCTTTTAATAATATTTTTTATCAGGCACCTATTACTCCCTTGGTCCCTCTCAATCTTACCTACTAATTATTTCTCTTATTTCTGCTGGTGCTATGGTGATCAGCTTTCTGTGGTCTTGGATCATCTTCAGACAGGTGCAGTCTGATAGTGCCTGTGATTCCACACACTGCTCACCTCCTGCTTAGGACTTCTATAATTTCTACCATGAGGCTTCTTTATGCACCCACACCCATGCATGTATAACCCAGAAATATAAGAGGTAGGGCAAGCATCAGACCAATGACAGACAGGATCCAGTGCATAAATATTTCTCCCTCTCTCACACTGATAGATGGTCCTGAAAAGAAATAACACTGGGTCTTGGGGGCTTCTTCTCATAATTAATTAGTTCCACTCAGCAGCAGCCACCATCATAATACACCACATATTATCTCTTCCTTGTCCCCTGCTTTGGTCACCTTATCTCACCCTCCTCTTTGGATTATACTCTCTAATAAAATAATAATGCAAAAGCCATTACCTCAGGCTCTGCTTTTTGGGGAACCCAATGTATTAAAGAAATAATTATTCATCCACAAATAACAAGTCAGTGTAACCACATATGACTTCAAAGGATTATCTCAGTGCATGACAGATGGTCAATATGCATGAATTTTTGAACACTGATGTTTAGAAAGGTGCTGGACTACTCATTTCTACATAACAAATTCCCTAGAAACTAGCTTGCAGCTCTCCTGAGAGAGCTGGGATATTTTTTCTTTCTAGGCTACTAGTTAAATTGCTTATTGCAGAAGGCCTTCTCAAACTTTGTGTCTCAAATATGCACATACATCAGCTGGATATCTTGTTAAAATGCAGCTTCGGATACAGTGGGTCTAGGATTGGCCCAGAGATTCTGTATTTTCTCACAAGTTCTTACATGTTGCTTATGCTGCTGACACAAAGACCACACTTTGAATAGCAAGAACTTATGACATAAGGCCAACTAATTAAATTACTTGGTTAAGCATTTAGCATGTATCAAAGACCTTATAAGCTATGATGATATTTTCCCCCTTCTAAAATATTTTTTTCTGATTATAAAAGCAACCCAATCTAGAAAATAAGGAACAGCAAAGGGGAAAAAAAACACTCTTAATTCTACCTTTGGTGCGTTTTCTTCTAAATCTCATTTTCTTTCTCTGCACATATAGTTTGTTGTATTTTCCCTGTCAAACTAGACTAACATCAAGCATATTGTTTTAAACTCATTCTATCAGTCAGGGTCCAATTAGGTGATAGAAATCTCACAGTAAATTGAAAAGGGAAAGTTTACTAGAATAAATTATTGACTACAACTGAGGATTAATTAGAGGATTAGGAAATGCGTGGTAAGAAGTGAAGAGAACTTGAAAGTGTCCAGAAGTAGCAGACATAAGGAGTAGCCACCATCCCTAGGGCTGAGACAGTGCTCGAGGAAACAACACCTTGAGACCTGGGATCTAGGCCTCATTAGAGAGGCTGTGCCTCATTAGAAGGCAGAGAAGTTCCTGAAATGCTGGGCTGATGGGACTTGCTGGAAATCTGCTCTCTGGGGGTGTTAGGGACACCTGCCCACAGAAAGATGTCATACTTAGAACTCACTGCAAAACTACCCAAGAGGGTGCCAGAGAAGCTCTTCATGGAGAGGTGCCTCATTGGTGGCTGAAGCTACCCAACAGGTACTGGGGGAAGCTGCTGGGCACTGTAGACTGCTGGATGCTACAGGACCATGGCCTGGAGAAGCTGCATGCACTCCAAGAGTCAGCCAAGCTGAGCACACTGGAACCAGGAAGAGAACCCCTTCCTCCTCCATATCCCTCCTATGCCCTCTGTTGACAGTTTAACATTGTGCCAGGTGGTAAAGGGGAAAATTTAAATGGCTAACTGGAAAATCTACTTTTTATTTTTTTACTTATTAAGACCATTCTTTTTAGGTTGGGCTCTCTGGAAAACAGATTTTAAATGTGTGTGGAGAGCACTGATTGTGTAGTGCTCTGAGGAACATCTCTTTGGAAGAAATAAAAGGCTGGGCAGAGGAGGAGATTAAATTGTGATGTGCTTTGGAGCTGTGTTGATGATAGATAATGAATAGATACTTCTCCAAAAAAGATTTACCAATGGCCAATAGCACACAAAAAGAAGCTCAACATCACTAATCATTGGGAAATGCAAATCAAATCACAATGAGATCCCACTTCACAGCCATCAGGAGAGCAATCAGATAAAAGAAAAACAAAACCATCTGAAAAATAACAAGCACTGACAAGGATGTAGAGATACTGGAACCCTTGTGCATTGTTGGTGGCAACATAAAATGGTGCAGCCACTGTTGAAAACAGCAAAGCAAGGCCGGGCGCGGAGGCTCAAGCCTGTAATCCCAGCACTCTGGGAGGCCGAGGCGAGTGGATCACGAGCTCAAGAGATCGAGACCATCCTGGTCAACATGGTGAAACCCCGTCTCTACTAAAAATACAAAAAATTAGCTGGGCATGGTGGCGCATGCCTGTAATCCCACCTACACAGGAGGCTGAGTCAGGAGAATTGCCTGAACCCAGGAGGCGGACGTTGCGGTGAGCTGAGATCGCGCCATTGCACCCCAGCCTGGGTAACAAGAGCGAAACTCTGTCTCAAAAAAAAAAAAAAAAGAAAAAGAAAAAGAAAACTGCAAAGTAGACCTTCAAAATATTGAATATATGACCCTGTAAGAGCTGACCCCAGTAAAAAAAAAAAAAATTGAATGTAGAATTACCACACAATCTAGCAATTGCACTTACGCATAAATATATATATACACACACACACACACACAAACTGAAAGCAAAGACTTGGATACAGGTGGAGTATCCCTAGTCCAAAAATCTGAAAACTGAAATGCTCCGAAGAACACTTCCTTGGAGCATAATTTTGGAAATGCTTCAAAACCCCAAATCTTTTGGGCACCTACATTATGATCAAAGGAAATGCTCAATGAAGCATTTCAGATTTATGGATTAGGGATGTTCAACTGATAGGTATAATGCAAATATTCCAAATTCCTAAAACAAAACAAAACAAAAAAAACCAAATCAGAAACACTTCTAGTCACAACTGTTTTGGATAAGGGATGCTCAACCCATAACTGAATACCCATATTCTTAACAGCATTATTCACAACAGCTAAAAGATGGGAGCAACCCAAGTGACAATTTGCAGATGAATAAATAAGCAAAATGTGATAGATACAAACAATGGACTATTATCCAGCCATAAAAAGAAAGGCAGTTCTGACACATAAAATGGTATGAATAAACTTTGAAGACGTTATGCTAAGTGAAGGAGGCCAGTCATGAAGACAAATATTGCCTGATACTACTTAGATGAGGTACCTAGAGTACCCAAAACTCAGACAGAAAGTAGAATAATGGTTTAGGCCAGCCAAGTTGCCTAATTTAATTGGATAAATACCAATTAGGAATGCACTGATCCATTTATATATAGTCTATTTAGAAACCAAATTACATAAATTCAACTGCTATATATACTATTTCCACTTAAAATATAAGATAATATTATTATGGATCTTACTGTGTTTGTGTCATGTATGCTTTCTAGTTATACTTTACATGAGCAATACTTATAAAACTTATCTTGTTAAAAGTACTTCATTCTATTTTCTTATAAGATTAACTAAATTTCTACAGTTGATAACCTCAAAAGTACCTTCCAATTCCCTCTTAATGCTATTGGGAAGAGTTTCCAATAGACAGTATAGTTTGTTGAGTTCCATGCTTTCAATCTCCAAAAGATCGATTGTGGCTTTTCTCATTTCTTCCTGAAAATTTAAATTACATTTTTAAAAAGTTACGACACTAAAATAGTAAGACTGATTTCCTAAACAATGCCCTATAAATGTTTTCAGGGGTCAAAATATAATTATATTAAATATTTCCTTATGAGTATCTGTTTCTTATATGCAGTTTCAATACATTTAAAAGACTAACAAAAATGGTAATATTGAGAAAAAAGCTACTTATTAAAATATGGAAATCACCTATAAAATATGCTTAGGTATAAAGAGAACAATGGTTTTCTCATACACACATACAAACCCAAACAAATAGGTAAAGCTGTTATTACTACTTTCAGGTGAGACTACTTTAAGAAAGGAAATACCACTCAGAAACCAGTTAGTGGGAAAAAATAGATAAATCATCTTTTAAATAAATGGTCATAATGGCTATAGCTATTTTATAACCTGAGAAACTGCCATTATATTTTATGAATTATAAAAAGCAAGACTATATAATTACATATATGGCATGATCACTTTTCTGTAAAAAATGAAATTCAATGCAGTTATCACCTATATACCCTGAAAGTAGAAAGTATATTCATCAGCATTGTGATTATTTTAATGTGGTCCTTTTGCTTATCTGTTTTTTTCCAAATTTTCCAAAGTCAATATGCATTAATTTTATAATAGAAAAAATTTATTACTTTAAAAGTAAAAGAATTGATTTCTGGGTTTTTCTTTTTTTTTGAGATAGACTCTCACTCTGTCACCCAGGCTGGAGTGCAGTTGGGCAATCTCAGCTCACTGCAACCTCTGCCTCCTGGGTTTAAGCAATTCTCCTGCCTCAACCTCCCAAGTTGCTAGGATTACAGGATCCTGCCACCATGCCAGGCTAATTTTTGTATTTTTAGTAGAAATAGGGTTTCACCATGTTGGCCAGGCTGGTCTCCAACCCCTGACCTCAAGTAATCCACCCGTCTCCACCTCCCAGACTGCTGGGATTACAGGCGTTAAGCCACCATGCCCAGCCTGATCTCTGTTTTTTAAGAGATTTCACAGCTCAGATATTAAATGAATACATATTAGATACTTTAGCCACAATAAATATTTTGGCCCCTTAAGATTCTAGAGAAAGACATAACTGAAAGAAGGAACCTGCAGGGAAAAATGTTTCCACAGTACCACAGTGCTGCACAACACACACGTCCCCTAAGTGTTTACATGTATCTATCCAATTAAGTAGGATTGTAAAGTATGATTGCATAGTAATATACATGAACTTATAATTATATAAAATGTAAAGTTATAAGAGTTTTATCAGCAGTCTGGATTCAAACTCATTTACGGGCATATTTCTACATTTTTAGCTATTTGATATGTAGTAGATTCTTATTCGATATTTTTAAATAGAATGAAGAGCTTCACCATTCTGACAGTGCCAAGGAAGCATTATCAATATCATCCATGGCCGAAAAGAGATGTCTATGACACCTCAGAAGAAAATTCTTTAAATATTTCTTCAACATGTCTTTGATAGAGACCAGATAAGTGTAACTGAAAGAGTTTCACTTTGTTTTCACTAGCAGTACAGTCTACTTCAGTGGAACAGATGTCAAATAATCTTTGACCAGGTATTCAAGGAATTGTTTATAGAGAACTGAATTACTTGGCACCATGCTTAAAATTTATTCCAGAGATTTTGTTTATTTTAAGCAATGGGTTTGTGCTGTGGATGAGGGCAAGCTTTAGTTTTCTAGTTGGAAAATTAAGCAACAATCCACAGTTGACCAAAAATTGTGCAAATACTTACAAAACAGAGAGAAAAATATTTTCAAGTTAAGGGTAACTGTATTCCTTAGTCATCTACTTAATACTTTGAACAGAACTGGTCCTAAATGAAAGATGAAGCAATGTGTGGAAGATTGAAGAAATAGTTCTTATAGATAACACAATACCAATTTCTTAACAGCTACAGCAGTGTCCTTAAGAAATATCTTTGCTTCTTCATTGCATTTAAAATAGTCACTTTGCAGTGATTGCTCTGAAAAAAAAAATTAGAAAATAAAGATCTCTTATTTATATATCCAAATCTACTTAACCTTTTATAATCTAGCTCAAATGCTTACTCGACTGGAAGTTACATCTTCAATCTCTGAATTTCTATTGTACATTACACTAATCTCTTTTGTGCTGACTTCGTATTCCATATTATAATTTAGGTATATATTTTATGCTCCTTGAGGACAAATGTGCTGGAGATTTATATATTAATATTTTATAATTCCCACTCAGAGCAAGAAGGTGTAATGATTTTTTTCCTATGAAAAATGTTCTGCATGTCTAGACATTATTAACAGAAAAATGTATTTGTACACAAGTACTAGGTTTGCATTGGCATGCTGATCTAGAGATCAAGTATGAAGGGAGTTCAAGGTCCTAGCTTTATCACTGACAATCACCTCAGATACATGTGAAATTATTAGGTCTTATAATAACTTTAGATCTTCTCAGTGGTTAACATTCTTCATGATAATATTTACCCAAGCATATTTGATAAGAACTGTGAAATTAACCTAGTGCATTTAAGAAGGAAAATTAGAATTATCCCAAATTAATAGTAACATTGTAACATAAATCAATATGATTATCTGGAAGAACTGGGATGATTCTAGTGACGCACTGAAATGTTCTGCTGTTTGGCCTAAACGGTTTTTGCACTGAACAAGAAACACCCTTTCTTGGGCTGTCTTACCTTAAATTTAAGTGACTTGATTACAGACTTGATTACAGGTTCAGCTTTCTAACTGAAAAAGTATTTTCACCTGGCCCCATCCAGGTGAAACCTGGTCATTTTCTATTCGAATCTCCTAAACAACCTTTTACATCTAATTTTCCTTGCTTAACAGAACAGGAGCCTCTTAAACACTCCCTTTCCCATTTGCTTGTTTAATTCTCCAGTTTGGCATGGCAAAATGTGGGAGAATGTTAACTTATAAAGGAAAGGCAGGAAGAGAACTGAAATCGAAGGCGTAACCTAAATGCAGGTGTGTACTCTGGTCGCAGGCATAGGGCAGTGGCTTGGGAGTCCCAGATTTGTTACCAACCACTACTGAGAGTTGAGCAAAGTCACCCCAGCTGCGCTAGAGCCGGAAAGCTGGGCACTGGACCCCACTCGCCACCTCTCTCCTCAGCCTCCAAGGAGCGGGGAGAAGGCTCTGCCCTGGCTAGGGATGCCCTGGTTCCAGGAGGAAAGTCCCCGCTCAGGGTTCCCGCTGAGCGCCTCCTAAGCGCCATCTCTGAGGAGAGTTCCCTTCAGGCGCCCGAGGGGCGTCTTACCCACAACAAACAGCTGTTCCAGGGCCTCGACCGCGACCGAGGAACCCAGGGTGGAGGGGAAGGTGCATAACTCCAGGGAGCGGCCAGTGGAGACGGCGGCTGCCTGCACCAGCTTCTCGCCAGCCCTCAGCCCCGGGGTCCAGGAGCTCAGGGCCATTTTGTCGCTCTAGCTGAGAGCCCCGGAAGCCAGAGCCAAGGACCGCCGGTTGCCACGGGCAACGAGGACGTCGAGTTCCGGGGGCGCCCCCTCGTGGCCAGCGCTTCTAGTGGGTACCTCCCTTGTTCTCTTTTATCCACAGTAATTAAGCAGTCTGCGAAGAATGCCTCTCTTTAGCTGACTTTTCCCCCTTTCCATTTCCATTTCGTTAGTGTAGGCCTGTGTCTTCTTTGTGGACCAACGTAATCATAATAATGATCACTTTTGACCGCATCTTTGTGCCTGGGACTGCAAGAGAACCTTTATATACAGTAGCTCAATCTTCACAAGGCCTATGTGAGCAGGCTCTTCAAATACCTACACTTTTACAGACAAGTAAGTAAACTGAGGTGCGGGCAACTAAGTGAACTGCTCAAGACAACCAGAGAATAATACTGGATTTAAAGTGACATCTGGGCCGGGCGCTGTGGCTCATGCCTGTAATCCCAGCACTTTGAGAGGCCAAGGCAGGAGGATCACCCGTGGTCAGGAATTCAACACCAGACTGATCCCCGTTCCTACTAAAAATACAAAAATTAACCGGGCATGGTGGCGGGTGCCTCTAGTCCCAGCTACTCAGGAGGCTGAGACAGGAATCGCTTGAACCCGGGAGGGAGAGGTTGCAGTGAGTCGAGATCGCGCCATTGCACTCCAGCCTGGACAACAAGAGTGAACTCCATCCCAAGAAAAATAAATAAAATAAAAAAATAAAGTGAAATCAGTGTGAATCCTTTAATTATGTTACAAAACCTTCTCTTGTACTCTTTTTATAACTTTCCTTATATCTAGTGTATCACTCAGCACATTTTGCCTTGAATCATAGAGATTTTTCTCTGTCCTCCCATCGAACTGTGAGCTCCATGATTACAGTGTCAGGAGGATATTATTTATGTTTCTCTGAATCTCCAAAATTCAGTTTAACATGAGGCTGGCTCCGTTTGAGTCTGTCAGTTCCTTTTACTCTGATGGGTTAGAGAGAAGCAAAGGTGATTCAACCCTCCTCTTCTTTTCTCCACAGATGGCAAAATTGATATTAGAATGATAACAATGACAATAGCTATCAATTGTTAAATGCTTATTTTGTTCCTGGCATTGTTTTAAATACTTTGCAGTACCCCCCCACCTTTTTTTTTTTGAGATAGAGTCTTGCTCTATTGTCCAGGCTGAAGTGCAATGGCATGATCTCAGCTCACTGCAACCTCTGCCTCCAGGGTTCAAGCAATTCTCCTGCCTCAGCCTCCTGAGTAGGTGGGATTACAGGTGCCTGCCACCACGCCTGGCTAATTTTTGTATTTTTAGTAGAGATGAGGTTTCACCATTTTGGCCAGGCTGGTCTCGAACTCCTGACCTTGTGATCCACCAGCCTTGGCCTCCCAGAGTGTTGGGATTACAGGCATGAGCCACTGTGCCCGGCTGCAGTACCCAGTTAACCCTCACAAATAATCTTTTGAGCTAGATATTATTTCCTGCTATGCAAATGAGGGCAATGAGCTACAACCTGAACCACTGTACAACACTGCCTTGGAGGGGTCACAGAACATCAATAGCACAACTAGTTCTAGAATCCAGGCCTCCTTCATCCAGGGAAAGCCATATTTTGGTATTGAACAGCATCCTGGGCAACATCCCCCTTTTTTGCTGGATTTGGTCTATTGATATTCAAATCTGTTCCTGCCCTTCTGGGCCCTCCTCTGTGTGGCAGGAGCAAGAAGCCTGGAAATGACATGTCCTGGATGTCCTTGCCAGCTGTTTTCTTGGTAAGTTCCACTAATGGGAGACACTGGTGGGAGATTTGAAAGCCAAGAAATCATGCGATTTCTGCCTCAACAAGTGGTAGTTTCAGGCTACATTCAACTGTAGGTCTGAGCAGTTTTGGTGCCTCCTGAGGTGGCAGGAGTAGGAGCTAGTGACTCCGGCAGTCTCCAGCTGCTCAGCACTAAATGTGAGCTTGTGTGTACAATATAGGTATTATGGCAGCTCTGATGACTGAGGTCTTCTTCATCCTCTTAGCCCTTATAACAAATTCCTTCTCTTCTGGAAATACCTAGACTGGACTACTTCAAGGCAACCCTTGTGCTGTCACCAGAAGACTCTTCTTACTCATCACCTCATTTGGATCACATTGCTCTCCATTATCTATGAATGAAGACTAATCTTAAGGCATTTGGAGTCCTCCCCACTTACTGGATTTGTTATAGATTTTCTAAATTTTTATATTTCTCTATTTCCCTTCATGTTTCTAATACTTTCTTTCCCCTGAACTTTGTGAGAAATGATCAGCTTCTACTTTGTTTCATGGTTCCTTTTACATGGGCTGCCCTATACAAAATTCAACCATAATTTTTCAAAAGAAACTTTATTAATTCTGAAATAGAAATCTAGGCAAACAACATCAATCAGCACTTAATGAAAATATTCCAAGAAACATATTGAAAAAACATTTACCCTCATTAGCATTCAAAGAAAAATAATACTCTCATTTCTGTATAATATTAAGATTAAAAAGAATAATACTTCAAAGTATTGACACTGGGAATACACATACTATCTGAAGGACAGTTTGAAAATTTGTATAAGGAAACTTGGCATACAGTAATTGCTCCAAGAATTGTTCTTAGAGAAATAGTCACATGTTTGTCCAGGGACATAGGTATAAACTCGTTTATTGAAATTGTTTTAAATAATGAAAAATAACCCAAATGATCTACAGTAGGACACTGTTTTTAAGTAATATATGGGACATCCATGCACTGGAACAATCTAGGCTACAGGACATCCATGCCGTGGAACAATCTAGGAGACAATTCATGTGGTTAAGAGCTTGGGTTCTGGTGGATTCGAATGCGTTCCACCACTGACTGGTTGAGGTATCCCCTGAGACAGCCTCTCAGCGCATGCTGCCAGTATCCCAGCTCTAAAGGTTGGTGATAGGAGCTCTTGGTCCACAGGATTGTTCAAAGGGTTAAATTAAGTAAGCACATGGTAGATACTTAAAAAACACTAATAGTAAAGTAATAATGGGGTATCTATTAAGAATAGTGGGTAGAAATGTACATGTACATACACATGCCTATGTGTAAAGTGGGAAAAGCAAGTTGAAAAAGAAATGTACAATATTCAATTAATATTTAATTTTTATAAATCCATACATCTATAGAGATGTATATAGCATATCTCTGTATACATATGCATAGAAAATGGTCTGAGAAGAATTGTTTACTAAAATGTTAACTGTGGTTATTCCTGGTTAGTGAAACTAGAGGTGTGGTAGGTAATATAGTGTCTCCCCCAAATGTACACATACTAATCCCTGGAACTTGTGAATATATTAGATTACCCGGTAAGGGATAACTAAGATTGTAAAGGGAACTAAGGTTGCTAATCAGCAAACTCTGAGATGGGGAAAGTAGCCTCGATTGTCCAGGTGGGCCCAATGCAATCACAGAGTTCTTATAACTGAAAGGCAGAGCAGGAGAGGCAATATCAAAGTCAGAGAAAGATTTGAAGAT